GGTTGAGGAGGCCTTCATGCAGCAGTGGATCGACCACGGCTGAAGATGACGATGATGACGATGAATGCGCCGTGTGGGGTCACTGATGCGTGAACTTCATGGGAAACGATTGGAGATGCACAAGAGGTTATTGGCTTAGATCGCGTGAACATAAATGTGTCATTGAACCCACCACAGCCAATTAGTAAGGTTTGTCACATAAACGAAAAATGCCAATTCGTTAATCGTACAACTCTGGCTGCCGCCTGACGATGCTGGTTGTAATTACTGCCGAAACATCGTGCTCCAGTTGTTGATGTTGTGGGTTTACTCTCCAACACACCCGTGTGCTGCACTCGTAACGAATTGGCATGTGAGTAGTTGAGTGGGTGAATAGTTGGGTGGGTGGGTGAGTAGGTGGGTGAGTGAGTGAGTAGGTGGGTGAGTGAGTAGGTGGGTGAGTGAGTGAGTAGGTGGGTGAGTGAGTGAGTAGGTGGGTGAGTGAGTGGGTGGGGTGGGTGAGTGAGTGGGTGGGGTGAGTGGTTGGGTGCGTGAGTGGGTGGTTGAGTGAGTGGGTGGGTGGGGTGGGGGAGTGGTTGGGTTGGTGGGTGGCTGAGTGGGCGGGTAGGTGAGTGGGGTGGGTGAGTGTTTGGGTGGGTGGGTGAGTGAGTGTTTAGGTGGGTGAGTAAGTGGGTGAGTGGGATGGGTGAGTGCTTGGGTGGGTGAGTGAGTGAGTGGGTGGGTGAGTGGGGTAAGTGGGCGCCGGGGAGATGAAATCCAACTGGCGGACCTCTGGATCACATGACCATTGACGCTCGTGACCCATTTCAGCGCCACAGTGGCATTGTCCCAGTGTGCTAAGTGCCAGTTGAGACCAGGCTGGGGTGGATGAGTTATTGCCTGAAGTTTCGGTCAGGATGACCCGGGCATTTAGGAACATTTGTGACAGATGGAGAGAGAGGGAGATATTTATTTGGGTGTCAGCCAAAGGGAGTCGTTTACGCAGAGGGAATGGACCTATCAGGTATGCGATGATGACGAGGAGTCAGCAATTCCTGGATATATTTTTTTTGATCATGCTCGTGATGCATTCTTTGCACGTGTGGCTGCCCGTGACCCAGCGCTGTGGAGGAAAGCAGCGATGGTTGGTGGATCACCGCACGAATGTCCCTAAACTCCCTTCACCGTGGGCGTCGGGGGAGGAGCCGCACTCCTGGCTCTGCCACGAGAAGGTGGCGGCACGGGAAAAGTGCGAACTAATCTCCACCTGTCCCTTCGATTTGGATTATTTTGCTGCTATAGATGTCCACGTGACAAGCCACTTCGTTGATCTGTCACTTGTGGGTGGCCAGGTCGGTGGGCTTTACCTGGTCAGATAAATATGGGTTAAGTTTTATTTGTATACTTTTTTAAGTGACTTGTGCTGGTAGGAACCTCCTGGTTACACCAGCCCACAGGGGATTATTGTGTCCGTCCGTCCGTTGTGCAGGGAGGGGCTGGGTTGGAGGGGGAAGAGCGCCTTGACAAATGCACGCTCCAAGCCTGGTGGTGTTTCATTCAGACGCTGTCTTTCCGACAGACCTATTCTTCACCTGAGGACGGCTGCTTGTGTTGTGGCCGAAATGTCGTGAGAATTCTTTTTATTATTTTATTATTTCCCTTCTACGTGACTTTACCGACAGAACCAAGAAGATGAATCCCTGCGTTCACGAAAGCTTTAAATCGAGATGATAATCCACTTCGCTGGGCAATCATTTGTGGACAGGTCGCTTCTGTAAAAGAGCCTTACCTGGTAAAACAATGCAAAGATTTTTGCTTTACCTGCGTGTGGAAGAGGCGGGTAAGCAAGGCTGGTGAGCCCGACGGGAACGGGTGCGGAAGGGTGAGGAGGGGGGTGGGGGGGGGGAAGGTGGGGCGAGCGAGCCTCTCACCTTCTCGGCGAGCGGACAGTAGCCCTTGAGGAAGTCCGCGCAGGCTTCGGCCTTGCGCGACACCTTCACGTGGCTGTAGGGGCAGTCGGCGCTGCTGCACACGCCGCGCAGGTAGTAGCAGCATACAGGCATCTGCCATCGCACGCCGACAAAAAGACGAAGATAATGTCATCGTCCTTGTCATCGTCACGGTCATCGTCACTGTGATCGTCATCATTACCGTGACCGTCATCACTGTCATTGTAACTGTCATCTTCATTGCCATCGTCACTGCATCGTCATCATCACTGTCATCATCACTGTTAATGTCATCACCACTGTCATCGTCATGGTCATCATCACTGTGATCGTCATCATTACCGTGACCGTCATCACTGTCATTGTAACTGTCATCTTCATCATCATTGCCATCGTCACTGCATCGTCATCATCACTGTCATCATCAATGTCATCGTCAAGTTTCCTTCGCTTTAGCATTTTTTCTAAATATAATTTTTCTGTTATTTTAACGCAATCCCCGGGTGCAAAGCACAAAGCGTAACGCGGGGGGGGGGGGGGGGGGAGGCATCGAAACTCCGCGGGCAACAGCCCAAGGCTCGGTGCCTCCTGGAGTTTAAAGTAGGGGGGAGAAGCTGGGCTGCCGGTCAGGTGTAGATGGCGAGCGAGGGTACAGACGTTCACATGGGGGCGGGAAGCATAGGGGAAGGATGACAAAAATAAGGGGATAAAAGGAGGCGGGGGAAGGGGGAGGGAGGGGAGAGGGGATAGAAGGGGGAAAAAAACTACACCTTGGTTCTTTCGGTCAAGTCACGTAGAAATAAATTAAATATAATAATGATAGTATTCTATTATTTATTTAATTTATTTCTACGTGACCTTACCGAAAGAACCAAAGAGTAAATCTCCTGCAGTCACGAAAGCTTTGAATCTAGTTTTACACTACACTTTTATTTTTGCCAGGTAAGAAGGCCCTACTGAGCAAACGTAGATTTTGTTTCAAGAAGCGACCCTGGCCATCGCAGATGATAAGCTCAACGGAAGTGGGCTTGTCATCACGTGAAAATGCGGAGGGAAAAAACCGGGGCAAAAAATCCACGCGACTACGGAGAGAACGTGCACACTGCAGCTGCCACCACTGCCGACGCTAGTGGGCTGTAACAGAGCTGTTCGGCTCAAAAGGGGCCTCACCAGCTGAGATAACAACGGCCAGAGTCCGACTTTGGGTCACCAAAAGGGATGAAAGCAGTCAATGGCACAAAACGAGACAAATCGTCGAATCAAACAGGGCTTCGGAACAAAACAAAAAAACGAAGACGGGGGAATCGAAAACATCGATGGACATCGCCAGCCGTCGCCGCCGACGACGGGGCCAGCAACGCGGCGCGCCCCCCCCTCCCCCGCACACAGTGAGCATCAGAGGTCGCAAACGGGTTTTGATTCCTTACCCGTACCCGGCCGCACCAGGGTCGCAAACGGGTACCCGTACCCGGTCGTACCCGTACCCTACGGGTATCGGGTACCTGATTGCGACCTCTGGGATGAAGCCATGTTGCAGGCGCGGGTGGGTTGATTCTAGGAACTTGAATTGTGAGAAGAGACAAGACGTTGGGAAATGAGTGACAAACGGTTACTCACCGGTGACTCACGGTCTACCCGTATCCGTACCCGGCCGCACCAGGGTCGCAAACGGGTACGGGTACCCGTACCCGGCCGGGTACGGGTAGCCGGGTAGGGTACGGGTATCGGGTTCCCGGTTGCGACCTCTGGCGAGCATCGGTTGTAGGTGGGGGGTTTACGAGGCGGAGGGGGGGGGACACACACAGCAAGCGAACCACCACCATCCCCCCCCCACAACCGCAAGCCAAAAAAAACAAACGCCCCCAACCTCTCGCCCTACTCAGCCCTCCCCCCCCACCTCCACCCGACATTATTTTGGAAAGCGCCCTCCCAAAAAGGAACCGCGGGTGCGTGGGACCAGGCCGTGGGACCGCGAGGAGCCTCAAGAGCGATTGCGGGCAGCTGAGAGGCCCCCGTCGCTACGCCACCGGATGGAGGCGACCGATTGTCGACGCTAAAATTCCCTCCTCCTGACCCTCCAGCCCTGGTGACGGGGGGGGAAGGAGGGAGGGAGGGAGGGAGGGGGGAGGGAGGGAGGGAGGGAGGGAGGGAGGGGAGGTGCCTTCGCCGCTATGGTGCTGGTAGCGCAGCAGCAGGGGATCTGATGATGGGTTTTTGAGGGTGATTTGTGTTTCTTGTTGGTGTCTATGAACACAGTAACACACAATGGGACTAATGTTACACGGGAAACCCGCCGTTACATCTTTGATGAAAAAAAGGGAGCACATAAGCAAAAAAAAATAGAAATTAAAAAAATACAAACAAACGACATGATGAACGAAAGTAAAGTGCCGAAAGACTGAGCATCTTTCTCGTCTGATCGTTTAAAAAATAAAAAAGGAGGGAGGGAGGGAGCGGGGAAACGCCCAAGTATTTGCCACATCTGCCAAGGATAGGGCCCCGCGTCTGTCTGGGAGGCACAGCACCAGAGAATTCACTTTTATTCTGATCTTGTCGTCTCCGATTGCCGCCGCCCACCGCTGCCGCCACACTACCGGTCCGCCGACATCGCTCGCCCGCCACCTCTCCCCATGCCCTCCAACCCGGAGTCGCGGTGTGTGGCACGCGCACGTTCACGAGCGCTCGCACGTGCGTTCAAGCGCTTGTGTGCACGCACGCGGCACTTTAGCGTTTGCTCCTCCGCAGGGTGTAATAACAACAATAGTAATGATGGACCTTTTGGCGTCATCTGGTCGAACACGATATGAGACTTAGGCTATAAAGAAAGCTGTCTCTGGTGTGGACCAATCAGTTTCAAAGACAATGCGTAAATGATCAGAGTATTGTTTTTTGTTTGCATTTGACTGCAAGTATTGTGGTTAATGTAAGCATGATTCCTTGCAAAAGGTGTCAGTTTTGTTGCCAGAAAAAAGGGTAAAAACCCTATTAGTAATAGTAATAATGTCAACTGGTAACAACACAGCGCAGCCACGGCCACGCGGTATTCGCTCGCTCGTGGTGAGCAGCCGGAGCCAGCAACAATTGCCCAAGCTCTGGGGTCCTCTAGTTATGAAGGTGACCAAAAACTTACCTCGAAAAAAACCATTTTGTATTTTACCAGGTAACATAGGTCGCAAACGGGTTTTGATTCCTTACCCGTACCCTGGCTGGACCAGGGTCGCAAACGGGTACCCGTACCCTACCCAATACCCGGCTACCCGTACCCGGCCGGGTATCGGGTAGGGTACGGGTACCCGATTGCGACCTCTGGGATGAAGCCATGTTGCAGGCGCGGGTGGGTGGATTCTAGAAACTTGAATAGTGAGAAGAGACAAGACGTTGGGAAATGAGTGACAAACGGTTACTCACCAGTGACTCACGGCCTACCCGTACCCGGCCGCACCAGGGTCGCAAATGGGTACCCGTACCCGGCTGGGTACGGGTAGCCGGATATCGGGTAGGGTACGGGTATCGGGTAGGGTACGGGTATCGGGTATTGGGTAGGGTACGGGTATCGGGTAGGGGTAGCCGGGTATCGGGTAGGATACAGGTATCGGGAACCCGATTGCGACCTTTGCCAGGTATGGCCCCACTGAACCCTGTAGCTCTTTTTCGGAAGCGACCTGGCAATCACAAATGATAGCTCAATGAAGCGCCTTATCACGTGGAAATTTACAGCAGCCAAATCCTCTAAAACGCACGTTGATTCTGAATGTGGAGGGAAAAACCAGAGGACCCGCAGGATAATCCACGCGACCACGGGGAGAGAGACACGCAAACTCCAAATATGCAAGGCGTCAGGGTTGGATCGAATCAACGACCTCCTGCATACCAGGTGAGGTGGTTAACATTTCGCCACTGCCCAATGGTCAGGCAAACAGCACAGACGCAGGAGCGTAGCGTAGTGCAACAAAAAAATAGATTTTCGCCGCATCTGCCTCCTGCCGCCCGCAACGCGGCCACCGCAGCGTCCGATAACGCCTGTTTTTCAGGGGCACGGCGGTCACCGATTCCGGCGCTTCGCCAGGCTCAAACCGTTGCTTGGCTTTTGACGTGGGGAGCGGCGGGCAATGGGTATCAACCACCCGGGTCGCTGGCGCACGAACCGCATGCGGCCACGGCCGACGGATCTCCCCACCGTTCAGAAAACGAGATCATTACAATTACAACAATTGCTTTCATTTCTTGGCTCAGCCGGGCCGCCGCCGCTGCCGTCGCCGCCGCGAGATAAATCCAATCCTTCCACGGGCCACCAAGATCGAAGCGGCGCCGGGCGCTCGCCCCGGATAGGCCGCAGGGTCGGCGCGCCGAGCGAGTAACGCTAGAGGTGGGCGTGCGTCACCGAGCCCGTAAGCCGACACCCGCGGGCGTCTCGAGGAGCCCACAATTATTTTTGGACGGGGCGGTGGGGGGCAGCCGCAAGGTGCCTTGCGCCACCCACCGAGGAACGGGTCCGACAGCAAGGGCGGGCTTGGCTGGGCGCACGGACGGGCGGGCGGGCTTGGGAGGTGAAGGCACGGCTGCCCTACCCGGGGCGCCGTGGGGGCTTGCTCGCGAACGCCAGAACTTCACTTTGGCCCGCAATCTTAACCCGATTTGCTTGAAGCTTGCACCGCAGGCGACCGGTGCCACGCACGCAGCCCATTTGTCAGAGGCTTGTTTTACTGGACCCCCCCCACGACTCCCCTGTCTCACAAACTGCTGCCCCCCCCCCACTCACCAAGCCACTGGCTAGCATCATATTCCTCCCCGGGAGAACTGGGGGGGGGGGGGGGGAGGGCTACGGGGGTGCGGGGGCCTAGCACCGTGCCGAGGAGGCGTGTGGTGGTTCTCTATCGCCACCCCTGCCACCATCACCCACCCACACACCTCCCCAACGGCGGCGATCGCTCGCCGCTAAAGTGGCCAAAGAGTCGGGCTGAGGATTAGCCAGGACCCCCCCCCACCCCCCGCCCGCACCCAAACTGACACATGCCCCCTAAAGCCCTGTTGCTATTGCTGCCTCTTGGCTCGATTCCACACAAACCTCTATACCGAGCCAAAATGGATAATTTATACGTCTATTTATAGACAGATCTACACATACTTACTTATTTACCCAGGAAAGCCACACCGAGTCTCAAGACACTCTGTTTAGAGGGTGCCATCACCGTGGCCCGAGGGGGCGATGACATCACCGTGGCCTGAGGTGGCGATGACGTCACAGTGGCTTAAGGGGGTGATGACGTCACCGTGGCCTAAGAAGGCGATGACGTCACCGTGGCCTAAGGGGGGGCGATGTTTTCAACGTGGCTTACACCCAATCAGGTTAAGTCACACCCCGGTTAACATGTCTCCCCCCCCCCCCCTATCGCGTCGTTTCTCAAACAAGTCGTCACTTTATCATGAACGCCGCCACCACCGCCACCACCACCGCCACCGCCGCCGCCGCCGCCGCCGCCGCCGCCGCCGCCGCCGCCGCCGCCGCCGCCACCACCACCACCACCGCCGCCACCGCCACCGCCATCACCGCCACCGCCACCACCGCCACCACCACCACCGCCACCACCGCCGCCACCACCGCCACCACCGCCATCACCACCACCCAATTTGCGTCGAATCGAACCCTCCCACACGCTTACGTCGTCCACAGCGTCGTCCGTCCTGTCTCCGTGTCCGTGCGCCCCAATCACCGCCGCGCTCGGGGCGCAATCGACGCGGTGCCGTACAGAGTCACGGTGACGTCCCCGCCGCCCCATGGGTCACCGCGACCGACGGGGCGACTGATGAGGAGTCTGCCTCACCTTCTCTCTGGACACCTTGTGCGAGAACTGGCAGGTCCCGTCCGTCTTCCTGCAAGTCCCGCGCAGGAACCTGCGGGTGGGCCACGAGACGTCAGGCGCTGAACGTCATCGTCGTCGTCTTCTTGGTCGTGATCACTGTCATCGTCATCATCACTGGTATCATCACCGTCATCGTCATCATCATCAATGTCATTGTGATCGTCAGTCATCGTCACGGTCATTGTCATCATCATCAATGTCATCGTCATCGTCACTGTCATCATCACTGTCATCGTCATCATCACTGCCATCGTTATTGTCATCGTCATCATCACTGTTATCATCACTGTTATCATCACCGTCATCGTCATCATCACTGTCACATCACCATCAGCGTCATCGTCAGCGTCATCGTCATCATCAGCATCACCGTCACCATAACCGTCACCGTCATCGTCGCTGCCGTCACCGTCCGGACGCTGCGAGAGCCAAAATACAGCAGCACAGCGATCGGCGCACGACAGCGGATCGGTTCCGTGTCCAACGGGACTCATCTGCACCACGAACTCACCGCGTGCACACGGCCACTTTGTCGGGGTCGTGCAGGAAGGTGCAGGCGTCGCCGCGGTTGCAGCGGCCAAAGCGGTTGTAGAAGGTGCAGTAGTCACGCGGTCGCTCCAGCCGTCGCCACAGCCTCGCCCGGCGGATGAGCTGCACGCTCCGCTGAACCGCGCTCCTGACACCGCCATCGATACCGCGCCCCGCGATCAGCATTGCCACAATCGACGTCGCTAACATTATTGTCGTTAAGGCGCCCTTCCCCCTCCCAGCTTAAATAGTCGCTCCAAGCCTGGAGTATGTCATTCAGACTCTGTCTACTCGACAGACCTGCTCTCCACCTGAGGACGGCTGCTTGCGTTGTGGCCGAAACGGCGTGAGAATTATTTTATTATGTTTTATTTTTATTATTTTATTATTTACATTCTACGTGACTTTACCGAAAGAACCAAGAAGATTATTGTCGTCGTCGTCATCACGACCACCGCTTACGACCAACGTCAACTACCATCATCACGACGACAATGTCTCTAACCATCATCATCATCACCGCCACAATCAACATCACTACCATTATCATCGCCACAATCGACGTCGCTAACATCATCGTCGTCGTCGTCGTCGTCACGACCACCACTTACGACCAACGTCAACTACCATCATCATCACGACTACAATGTCTCTACCATCATCATCACCGCCACAATCAACATCACTCCCATCATCTTCGCCACAATCGACGTCGCTAACATCATCACGGCAATCAGCATCACGACCACAATCAATGCCGCTATCATCATCATCACCACAATCAACTTCACTGCCACCATAATCATCATCACCAACATCAACGTCACTACCATCATCACGGCAATCAGCATCACGACCACAATCAATGCCGCTATCATCATCATCATCACCACAATCAACTTCACTGCCACCATAATCATCATCACCAACATCAACGTCACTACCATCATCAAGGCAATCAGCATCACGACCACAATCAATGCCGCTATCATCATCATCACCACAATCAACTTCACTGCCACCATAATCATCATCACCAACATCAACGTCACTACCATCATCACGGCAATCAGCATCACGACCACAATCAATGCCGCTATCATCATCATCATCACCACAATCAACTTGACTGCCACAATCATCATCATCACCACGATCAACGTCACTACTACCATTAATCTGGCCAGCGAACAAGACTAGGCAAAATGCGCCTCCAACAGTGGCGGCTTTCTCGTTTAACTGCGGGGCGACTCACGAGGCGAGGACGCGGCTGCTGCTGCTACTGTTGTTGTTGCTGGCCGAGAATGAGATGTTGCCGGGGCTGAGCGTCGCCGGCGATCTAGCGAAGAACATCGTGCTGGCACCCAGCCCTGCAACACGCGCACAAAGACCGTGTAGCCTTAGCAGACATTTGGGGGCAAGTGCTGTTAGCGAGCACCTATGAAGGCAGGCACTGCGGCACACGAGGGGGTGGGTGGTTAGCACCGCGCCCGATCGCCTTTGTCCCCGCAGTGGCGATGTTTACGCACCGCACCAGGTGATCATTTGAGGCTGAGTCGACCTAGGGGAAGCCCGGGAACCGGTTCAGATAATCGTCACTGGTGTTGGCCGTGAGCGGGAATCGAACTCGGGCCGTCAGGCTCCGTAGTGGAGCGCGCAAACTGCTACACCACCGCCACGCACAATGACAAAGGTCCCCCGTATAGCCTTAACAGACTGTAGGGGCAAGTGCTGTTAGTGAGCACCTATGAAGGCCGGAATGGTACACGAGCGGGTGGGTGGCCAGCACCACGCCCGACTGCCTTTGTCTCCCTAGCGGCGATGTTTACACACCGCACCAGGTACTCATTTGAGGCTGAGTCGAACTAGGGGAGGCCCAAGACCGGTTCAGATAATCGTCACTGGTGTTTGCCGTGAGCGGGAATCGAACCCGGGTCGCCAGGTTCGTAGTGCAGCGTAGCGCTAACCGCTACACTACTGCATCGGTCGGGCGGCACCGTGCCACCACCGTCGTCATACGGAATGTAAAAGTAAAACACCTTTTTATTTCACCAGCGAAGGCCCACTGAGCTACGTTGGCTCTTTTTCACAAGCGAACTGGCTCTCACAAGTGATCGCTCAATGGGGAGAGAAAAACCGTAGAAAAATCCACGCGGCCGCGGCGAGACGGAGCATGCAAACTCCAAAAATATACAGGCGTCAGGGTCAGGATGGAACCCACGGCCGCCTGTATACCAGGCGATGCGGGTGGCACGGTTAGTACGCCAGGGACTGGCAGAGGTGTGTGCCCTACTTGGTGAGTGCAGTCGACGCAGCTTCTTGCCCGAGTGGCTTGCCGAGTAGCGCACGCCGCCCTGGTTCACGTACACGTGCAGCGTCTTGCCTCCTGCGTGGGGGTGAGGGCAGGTTGAGGGGGGGGGGTCGAGAAGGTGGAGCAAGCGGTGGGGAGGGGGGCGGAGGGGCGGTGATCGTCCAACATGTGCACGACAAATCAATGGCTTGAGCCTTTTCCCTTCCGTGACGTCTGCAAGTTGCAGGGTGGGTCCCCGTTCAGAGAGGCGGCGTCGCCGTTGTTTTTAAAGACAGTGTTACTCACCGCAGAGAACCGTAGCAACACGATCGCACCCTACGATAGCTGGCACAAAAACCGTGCCACGCCCTCCCACGCATGGCATTGTGGGGAGCCTCGGTACCGATAAAGTAACTTTACTTCGGTGTACGTCATCGGAATGGGAAAGGGTTAAGGAACCCAACACGCGGGGACCGAGCGCACTCGCCGCTCGTTGCAGAGGTTCCTCGTTCGGTGCTGAAAGTCAATTGGCTATTTGCACAGCTGACTTGGATGGAAGGGGATTCTTTTGGCAGCTCGGGGGAAGGGGGGGGGAGACGGGAGCTGAACCGGCGACCTGTTGATTGCGAATTCCAGCGTTGCGAGTCCAGCGTGCTCACCGTGAACAGGCGGCCAGCGGGTGGCAGCACGCCACAAAAATTGCATTCATCCGAGTCTCATCCACACCGCACACTCACCCACTCACTCACCCACTCACTCACTCACCCGCTCACCCACTCGCTCACCCACACTCACCCACTCACCCACTCACTCACCCACTCACTCACCCACTCACTCACCCACACACTCACCCACTCACCCACTCACTCACCCACCCACTCACTCACTCACCCACCCACCCACCCACTCACTCACTCACCCACTCACTCACTCACTCACCCACTCACCCACCCACCCACCCAATCACCCACCCACTCAATGCAAGAGGCCAAAGGATTCCCAATGTAGCAGGGACCCCTCCTGATGACGTCTTGAGATTCAGCGAGGCCACCGTGGACAAATCAAGGGCACTTTTTTTATTACTATAATAATTTCACTCGGTGTGCTTCTCCTTCTCTCCCGTACCTTGCCCCTCTCTCCTCCCCGAGCTTCCGCTCCTCCCGCTCCATCTGCACCCCCACCTCCCCCACCCACCCCCTAGCTCAACAAAGTGGCTTATCACGTGCAAATGTATAGCAGCCAAATACTCTTTAAAACGCATGACGTTGATTCCAAATGCGGAGGTTAAAAACTGGAGGGCCCGGACAAAAATCCACAAAACCACGGGGAGAGAGAGACACGCCAATTCCAAATATACAGCAGCAGGCGTCGGGGTCGAGGATCAAACCCACGACCTCCTGCATACCAGGCGAGGTAGTTAACCGCAGTGCCACTTCTCCCCCTCTCCATACCACCCAGAGGTCGCAAACGGGTTTTGATTCCTTACCCGTACCCGGCCGCACCAGGGTCGCAAATGGGTACCCGTACCCGGCCGGGTACAGGTACCCGTTCCCTACCCGAAATGAGTGACAAACGGTTACTCACCAGTGACTCACGGCCTACCCGTACCCGTACCCGGCCGCACCAGGGTCGCAAACGGCTACCCGTACCCGTACCCGGCCGGGTACGGGTAGCCGGGTATCGGGTAGGGTACGGGTATCGGGTAGGGTATCGGGAACCCGGTTGCGACCTCTGATACCACCCCAACCCCCCGGCCCCACAGATCTCCCCCCACACCTTTGGCTCGCGAGCGAGCTGGCGATGGGGTCCTAGCGGGCGATGAGGCCGCTCCGTGACCCTGCTGCTGCTGTGACGGTGGCCGCGCGTGGCCGGCTCGTGCGAGCCGCTGGGCCGTCACGCTGTAGGCTACGCCGCCGATGAGTCGCAGGCACCTCCGGCCCCACCACACGTCAGCGCTGTGGGGGAGGCGCACGCGCGTGTGTGTGTGTGTGTGTTACACGCGAGAAGCAGCACCAATCAATTCTAGATTTGAAGCTTTCGTGACTGCAAGGATTCATACTCGTAGTTCTTTCGGTAAAGTCACGTGGGTAAAAAATGAAATTAATAAAAAAAATAAAAACACTTGATCCAGATTTTTCGCTGTGACAGTTTCACCTGAAGACGGAAGCTTGTGTTGCCTCCGAAACGTCGTGATTTTTATTTTTTATTTTTTTTATTTAACTTTTATTAATTTTAATTTCATTTTTTACCTACGTGACTTTACCGAAAGCACAAATCAAATCAATGATCCAATTAAATCCAATTAATCAGCGTTGAACGTACCACACGTGCGCGCCACGCACACCACCAGCGTGAACACACCACGCACACGGCATAATCACTGATCAAACAGCACACACACGCGCACGGCACAGCGCATCGCACGCACGTGCCCGGCACAGCGAGCACAACTGACACACACGCGCACAGCACAAAGCAGCACACACACACACACAAGTGCAGAGCACAATTCAGCACACACACACAAGCGCAGAGCACAATTCAGCAAACACACGCACGGCACAATGCGAAGCAGCATACACACACACACACAGTACACACACACAGGACAGCACAGACACGCACAGCACACACGCACAGCAAAACACAGCACACACGCACGGCACAACGTAGCACACACGCACGCACAGTACAACGTAGCGCGCACACACACACACGCACAACACAGCACACACACGCACTGCGCACAGGGAAAGCCTCACCTGCTGTGCGTCTGGGTCAGGTCGGCCTGGGGCCGCGACTTGATGACGCTCATCCTCCTGCGGGAGACACGCACGGAGCTCACTCTCGACCGCTCGCTCTCAACCCGTGGTTCCCAACATTTATCACCCCTACCGGCTCTAAGAGCCTCCACACCGACCACACCTACCAGCCCTACGACCTTACCCGCCCTCCTACCACACCTACACCCCTACCAGACCCACAGCCCTACCAGGCCTACCACTCCTACACCCCTACCAGACCTACAGCCCTACCAGGACTACCACTCCTACACCCCTACCAGACCTACAGCCCTACCAGGCCTACCACTCCTACACCCCTACCAGACCCACAGCCCTACCAGGCCTACTACTCCTACACCCCTACCAGACCTACAGCCCTGCCAGCCGCACACCCCTAGTGTGGAAGAGTGTGCCCAAACGTCCTCTTGTCTGGGGCCCCCTCTAGTGGAGGCATTCCGGACAGGAGGAATCTTTCGCCGCGCGTCGCGTTCGACGGGCACGCACCGCATCATGAAGTCTCCGCGCGCGTGCGGCCCGCTCCGTGGCGTGCGTGGGGACGCGGGGCCCCACGGCTGCCGCACCAGCTTGTACCTGCGGCAAAGCCAGCAGCAGAAAGAGATTGTCACAGCGGCGGCGGCGTCGCTAGCGCCACCAGGGCACCCGGCCACCAGGGCACCCGGCCACCAAGGCACCCACCCACCAGGCAGGCCTGTTCGTGTCGGGCAGCTCAGTAAGGTCACGGGATGCAAAGGGGGCAGCGGGGGGCAGCAGCGGGCGAAAGCGAGGGTGGGGGGTAAAATACAAAGCACATTTTGGCAAACAGTGCACGCACTGTCTAATATTAGAGTCCGGTCTGCAAATCCCACGGTGGGATAGAAACCGAATCCCTCGTTAGAAGAAACCCACCACCACCTCCCCATCTCCCGGCACCCCTCCCACGAAACTTTTGGTACATTTGTCACTAATTTCACCGCCGGTTAATCTCGGCGACGGGGTTATTTTTATTTTTATTATTTTTTTATTTCCCTTCTACGTGACTTTACCGAAAGAACCAAAAATATGAATCCCTTAGTATGTCCATAAGCCACAAGGCACGCAGGGCATATATTTAACTACGTGTTCATTCCAGCCATTCTCTATCCTCCAATGGATGAAGACCTCCCCAAGTCACACATCGTGGGAGTTGACTGCATTTGTTTGACCAAACTTCGCCGTGCTGGTCTATGCGGGCTGGCGAGGGGGAAACGGGGAAGGGCAACGGCTGTTAAGCGTGATCGAGAATCGAACTCGGGCCGGTGGATTTTGTAGCACAGCAAAGCTAACCACTTCGCCACTGTTCCATCCGACTGTTGGGCCATGTGTCGGATAAGTGTGGACCAGGTTGACCCGGGTCACTGGGTCAGCCGGGTCAGCGGCGGTTACACGCACCTGGTCCTGAGCGCCACCTTCCCGGTGACGCGCGGTGTGGTCGCGGTCGCGTAGAGCACGCTCCTGCACCGCACGAACTTCGTCCGGTTCCTCGCCGGGGCCAAAATCGTCGCGCCGGGGAAGGTGGCGGCCGCGGACGGCGACGGCGTTCTCAAAGTGCCGCCACCGTCGCCGCCACTCGACTTCCACTTGTAGCGGGAGGTTCCGGGACGCACCGCGGCGGGAGAAGCGGCTTCGGGAGCGGCCGGAAATCGCGGCGGCCGTCCCTTCTGCGGCTTTGCCGCCGCTGCCGCCGCCGCCGCAGTGATAGCGGCGGGGGCGGCGCCGGCCGACGACGTCGCTGGACCGACCTCGGTGGACTCGGCGTCCGTCCGTTGGGACCGCGTCACGGGAGACAAGCCCCAGCCGGGCGAAACACCGGACGCAGGCGTGGCGGCGAGCGGGCCGCCGCGTCCGGCGGTGGCGCCCGTCCACACGTACTTGGTGCCGGCGGCGGCGGAGGTGGTGGCGGCGGCGATGGCCGCCTTCGAGCGGGCCGACAGCGGCGTGCTGCTGCGCTGCTTCGTGGCCTGCCGCTGCAACTGCTGCAACTGCTGCAGCTGCTGCAGCTGCTGCAGCTGCTGCAACTGCTGCAGCTGCTTCTTGTCGCCGCCACGGACGCGAGCCGCCGCGGCTGGCGCCGGCGCGGGGCCCGGAGCGGAGCCCTTCGGAACGTCGGCGCTCGTCGGCGGGGCCTGGCCGCCGGCCTTCGCGCCGGCGGGGGCGGCGCGCACAGGGGGGGGCCGTCGCCACGAGTAGCGTGACAGCCCGTCGGCGCAAATCACGGGCTTCCTGGGCGCGCGGCAAACGCTCGGTGCCGCCGGACTGCGGCGCGCCAGCGTCACGTCGAGCGGTCCCGGCGGGACGGCCGCGGCTTTGCCGGAGCCGCTCGACGGGACGGCCCCCGCCGCCGGGACCGCGGGGACGCTCGACGTCACGGCCGTGGCGGGGCCGAGACGGAGACGGGCGGACCCTGCCGGTCGTTTCGGTCTGCCGGGCGCCGGCGGCGGCAGAACGGAAGCGACGGTCGGTGGCGAGGAGACAACACGGGCGCGTGCCGGGTTGGTCCACGTGCAGGACGAAGGGTCGACCAGGCCACGGCCCAAGAGGTGATCCGACGGCCAGCGTGGCGCGTCTCCATGCTGACTCCTGTGTGCGTTGATGAGACCTGTGGGGTGAGGACGAAGGGGGGCAGGGGGGAAGAGAGGGGGGTTGCAGGAGGTGGGGGTGGGGAATAAAACACCATGGGACATAAAGTTAAACATTGCAAAACAACGAAAACAAGGTAAACTATTGAGATGTATCTTCTTGGCTCTTTCGGTAAAGTCACGTAGAAGGGAAGTAATAAAATAATAAAAATAAAACGTAATAAAATAATTCTCACGACGTTTCGGCCACAACGCAAGCAGCCGTCCTCAGGTGAAGAAACAGGTCTGTCGAGAAGACAGCGTTGTGGCCGAAACGTCGTGAGAATTATTTTATTATGTTTTATTTTCATGATTTTATTACTTCCCTTCTACATGACTTTACCGAAAGAACTAAGACGATGAATCCCTGCAGTCACGAAAGCTTTAAATCGAAATATTGAGATGTATACAGAATAAGAATCAGGATCTTTATTTAGACTGGATGAATCGGAAGGGCTATCAAGCTTGTTTGCACAGATGTCCAGTCGGGGCGGATCAGCAAGTTGCAAGAACAAACAACACACAACACGATAGGAGTGCAAAATTGAGACAAATGTAAGCAAGACTCCACATATGAATAAATACATTCAAGTACACGTCCGATTTTTCAAAGCTAAATGCAAGCGTTGGCAAGGCAGCAAATCAACAACAAAAACAGTCCCAGACCAAACCAAAGACAACACGCAATTCCTCAATAAAATTGGCACGTTCAAACTGAATCATCAATGCACACGTTAAGGATAAAAGTTACAAATGACATTGACAAATGTGGTTGCATCGAGCATTAAACTTCTGCTTCGGGATATTTTTGAAGGAAGATTTACGACGTTAAGGGAGGAAAACAAGGTTGGAACAACACGTTTGGCGCTTTTGATCACCTATTCCAATTCTTGTTCTAGGGATAGTTAAAAGGGAATTCAAAACTTCCAGAAACTATTCACCACGTAAGGCCCACTGACCTGGCCATAAATGATAGCTTATCATGTCCAAATGTATATCAGCAAAATACTCTCAACGCACGATTCCTCATGTGGAGGTAAAAACCGGCGGACATGGAAAAAAATCCACGCAACCAAGGGGAGGACATGCCAACTCCAAATATACAGGCATCAGGGTCGGGATCGAACCCACGACCTCCTGTATACCAGGCGAGGTAGTTAACATCTCACCACTGTGATGACAAAGAGACATGCAAACTCCAAATATAAAGCAGCAGGCGTCAGGGTCGGGATCGAACCCACGACCTCCTGTATACCAGGCGAGGTAGTTAACATCTCCTAGCCACCTTGATGATGATGAGAGAGAGAGAGAGACACGCAAACTCTAAACATAGAGCAGCAGGGGTCAGGGTCGGGATCGAACCCACGACCTCCTGTATGCCAGGCGAGGTAGTTAACATCTCCTAGCCACCGTAGACAATCTACCACTATATCACCGAGTAAGTTTGCCTAGGGCTGCTATACACGTACAGCTGTGCACACCGCACAACCTACCTAACCCTAATTAAAAATGAGACATCCCCATCAACATACCTAATAACAACTTTACCACAAGCCAGATGTGTTAATCACACATGTTTTAAAGCGAATCGCCCCCCCCCCCCCCCCGGTTTTATGTCTAATGTTGAAGTATGTCAACAAATTATAATATGTTTTAACCTCTCTGGAAATGAAAGAGTAGGTGTTAAGATGTTCACACTTTGATTCTGGCCACAACAAAAAAATATTAATTTTTAAAAACAGTAGTTGAAGCCTAAGAAACGCGAACCCCGATTGCATTTCCCACCGCGGACAGGCGACGGCCGCGCGCGCCCATTGGCTCGCGCCGCGTCACGCGGTGTCGCAGCCGCCGGCGCTGATTGGTCGAGCGAGGCGCGCGGCGTACGCGGTCTACGCAATTCAAAGTCGTTTAACCAAACCGCATTTAATGTAATTTTAATTTTTTTAAATAATATCTTCATTTTTAATCGGTTAGTTAGAGAAAATTATTTTAAGTTATATAACCTAGCGTGTTTTATATATTTTTTGGCTAATACCGTGCGTAAAAAAAAAACATCGGTTTAAAAAAAAAACATCTGTTTAAAATAAACGACTGTTTTAATACCAGACATACTCTTTGTTTTTTCGGTAAAGTCACGTAGGTAAAAAATTTAAATAAATTAAATCACGACGTTTCGGGCGCAACACAAGCGTCCTTATTCTTGGTTCTTTCGGTAAAGTCACGTAGAAGGGAAATAATAAAATAATAAAATATAAAACAATAAAAATTCTCACGACGTTTCGACTGCAACACAAGCAATCATAATCAGGTGCATTGCAGTCGAAACGTCGTGAGAATTTTTATTGTTTTATATTTTATTATTTCCCTTCTACGTGACTTTGCCGATTTAAAAAAAAAATTCCTACGTGACCTTACCGGAAAAAAACTAAAAAAATCATTGCAGTCACGAAAACTTCAAATCTACAGCATTACCTGTTAACCCCATATCAGTGCCCCTATACCTTATTACAGACCCTTATAACGTTCATCCTAAAAATAAAAGTACCATCACAAGGGACAAACACAGAGACAAATATTAGTTGTGCCCGCATTGTTTGGTAGTACATTAGGTAGTACATGTTATGTATAGAGTTATTGTTAAATTCCAATCAGTTCCTACGCTCACTGTGACATTGCGTAGCTTTATTTTGGTGATTTCGAAAACGTTTTGGTTTAGCCATATTTGTTTGTTGTAGTACAGAGTTAGACTGATAACTTTAATCTAAATTGTCTTATGTTATTGTTTGACTTGCATACGGTGCTTTTTCTGCAAGACTTTGCTGTTTTTTCTTGGATTTTTCTGTTTGCGCCTAGTCACTTTAAGATGTTTCTTGTTCATGTTTTTGTTTGTTGTTGGTAAATTGCCGAATGGCTCACAGGGCTTTACCAAATAAATGGTTTCCTCCTCCTCCTCATGATCAAGATTCAAATCAAGAATGAATGACACAGACTGTAGGGGCAAGCGCTGTTAGCGAGCACCTATGAAGGCCGGCACGGCCACACGAGAGGGTGGGTGGCCAGCACCAGCGTTGATGTTTACGCAACCGCACACGGTACTCATTTGAGGCCGAGCCGACCTAGGGGAGGGCCCAGGCACGTTTCAGATGATCGTCAGTGGGGTTGGCGGCAGCCGTGAGCTGGAATCGAACTCCTCGGGTCGCTGGGTTCGTAACACAGCGCACTAACCACTGCGCCACCGCTCCCCACAAAGACAAAGCTCCCCCGTATAGCCTCAACAGGCTGTAAGGGCAAGTGCTGTTAGCGAGTCACCTATGAAGGCCGGGGGGGTACACGAGGGGGGGGGGGTACACGAGGGGGGGGGGTACACGAGGGGGGGGGGTACACGAGGGGGGGGGTACACGGGGGGGGTACACACGGGGGGGATACACGAGGGGGGTACACGAGGGGGGACAGGGGGGGGTACACGGGGGGGGTACACGAGGGGGGGTACACGGGGGGGGTACACAGAGGGGGGTACACGAGGGAGGGGGGTACACGGGGGGGGGTACACGAGGGGGGGGGGGTACGGGGGGGGGTACACGAGGGGGAGTACACGGGGGGGTACACGAGGGGGGGTACACGGGGGAGTACACGGGGGGGGTACACGAGGGGGGTACACGAGGGGGGGTACACGAGGGGGGTACACGAGGGGGGGGTACACGGGGGGGTACACGAGGGGGGTACACGAGGGGGGTACACGGGGGGGTACACGGGGGGGGTACACGAGGGGGGGTACACGGGGGGGGTACACAGAGGGGGGGTACACGAGGGAGGGGGGTACGGGGGGGGGGTACACGAGGGGGGGGGGTACACGGGGGGGGTACACGAGGGGGGGTACACGGGGGGGGTACACGGGGGGGGTACACGGGGGGAGTACACGGGGGGGGGTACACGAGGGGGGGTACACGAGGGGGGGTACACGAGGGGGGGTACACGAGGGGGGGGTACACGAGGGGGTACACGAGGGGGGTACACGGGGGGACAGGGGGTACACGAGGGGGGGTACACGGGGGGGGTACACGAGGGGGGTACACGAGGGGGGGTACACGAGGGGGGGTACACGGGGGGGGTACACGAGGGGGGGTACACGAGGGGGGGTACACGGGGGGGGTACACTCAGCCCGGCCGCCTTTGTCTCCCAAGCACTGATGGTGCACACGCACTGTACACCACTGTACGTACACAACCACTGGCTTATAAGACGCACTAGTCTCTCCACGTTTCGCTTTAAAACACAAAACCCATACGGGGTGGTGGGTGGGGAGGGGTGTGTGTGTGTGTGTGTCTTATAACCTGTATAAGCTATTTACGACGACGATGATGATGAAATGATGATGATAACAATAAGTAAGAGCCGAGTCTGTCGCCTGCTCAACCAACACGCAGCCCGCGAACGTGATCGGCTGTCGTCTGGGCTAGCGGTACCGAGACGGGAACGAACGAACGACCAACGAACGGAGACGCAAATGAACGATCTGGACGGTCGTGTGGAAGCGACGAGACGCGTACCCGTGAGGAAGCGAATCTGCCTCTGCAGGGATTCTTTTTCCTCCATTGACATGAGTGGTGAGAGGTCTTTATCCTCCTACTCCTCCTTCAGCGCATTACGACGGGTTTAAAGACGTCCTCCTCTTGTTCTTCTGCTCCTTATTCTTCTTGTTGTTTGTAAACAAATGCAAGCACGCGTTGTTACGCGTGCGTGTGTGTGTGTGTGTTTTTTTTTTAAAGAGAATAATAAAAGCAACGTTTAAAAATGCCCAAGCCGGAGTTCACCGATCAGCTGTTCGCTTTTCATCCCCAAACAGAACAGGCCTCGTGACGTCACCGGTGACGTCACCGGTGACGCAATCCCCCCCACCCTCAACTTCCCCCCCCCCTCTCAACAACGACAACCGCCATTCGCCACTAAGTGGCTGTGACGTCACCACGACGCTTGTGCCAGGCCACGTGCACCTTGAGGCTACCACGTGAAGTGTCGAACGCCTGCTTGGCAGGAGGTCACGGGGCAGACCCAGCAGGTGCCACGGGTCGACTGGCTGAGATGACCGAGATGACTGGCTGATGCACCACCTGTGCCCCCTACTGTGCCAACTTGCTGTACTTTAGCCACCCGGCGCTCCGCTCGTTGTTGTGAGCGACAGCGTCGCTCCTCCGCCCTCCGTTGTTGTTGGAGGGCGACTGCCTCCAACTGCCCAGTAGCGTCCTTCACGAGCCTCCACCACAGAGGACGATCTTGACACCGCTGGTACCAGTCATCGGCAAGTCCAGCTGCATGAGTCACAGTCCAAAACCTCGCCCATTTACCCTCGACATCTGGAGGAGTGGGGGACGATGCCAACCCCAGCTGCAAGCGATGATAACATTCTCGCTTGCAACTTTCATCAGCTAGCTGAGACCAGGCCCCACTCAGACGGCTCTTGCAACAGCGTCACCGTCGTAATTGCTAGTGGGTGACTTTCACTTTGACTCACGGACGGATTTGGAATTTACGTAGGTAACAACGCCCTCCAGCACTCAGGTCGATGGGTCACGCAAATGTGCGTTCATCACGTGAGAAGTTTCCCTTTCCTACACCGATGCTTGCCCTATCATCCACCGATCCTTGCCCTATCATCCACCGATCCCGTGCCCTGTCATCCACCGATCCTTGCCCTATCATCCACCGATCCCGTGCCCTATCATCCACCGATGAAATAATTATGCAAGTCTCTTAACAGGTGTCCCCTGCCTCTGTCCGCCCAGCAGTATGAACGAGTCTATCACAGTTAAGCAATCCCAGTTAAGTCTATGGGCAGGCTGCGCCCAGGTGTGGTGAGGTATTGCTGTCCTCACATCGTCCCTAGACGTCTGGCAGGCTTGGAGGAGGAGGCCAAATACCATCGAGAGAGAGAGAGGTAAGGAGGGCAGATCTGTACAGCTCTAGCAGTGACGCCAGCGGGCACTTGCTGGGGTTTCGCCTTGGCCGTCATCCATCCAAAGAATTCTGACAGCCACTATTTTACTTTACCGAGTGTTAACATCCCCAGCGTTTAACAGTACTCTCCTTTTTAAATCCTTTATATTAAGTTCACTTGCTTGCTTGCTTGCGCGCTTACGACCGTGCAAATCTTTCAGTCGTTTTTTAACCCACTTAACCGTGATCCAATCGAGTTGACATTTTGCACACAGACTCGTTGTGCGTGACAATTTATTTTCGTGAAAAAGTTTTCTCCAAAATTTTCCACTTTTTAGGAAAAAAAAATGTCATATTTAATTTAAAATACCAATGTGATAAAAATGAAACTCTTATTCAAGAAAAACAGAAATGAATAATAAAATAAAACCGATGCCACGCATATAAAGGATTTATAGTAAAAAAAACTTTGTTTTTACGGGTTAATTTTTCGTATTTGATTGTCAGCCAACACTGGTTAAAACAACATGGGCATTTTCGTTCTCTTCTATCATGTGCACCAACAGGGGCTTGCGCACAAACACGTCCACGTCGTGCTCTCTTTTAGCCCCCCCCCCCCCCCAATACGTACCACATTCTGATAAGCTCCCCCCTCTCCTCCCCCCTTAACTTGCATTTAAGAACTTGCATCTTGGAATCCCTGCCTCACTTGATACAGCAAATCTAGCTGTGACGGTCCCACCTGATGACGGGGACTTGTGTTGCCTCCGAAACGTCGTGATTTATTATTTTAAAAAAATTCTATTAATACTTTTATTAATTTTTATTTCATTTTACCGGAAAAACTAAGAGTATTAATCCATCCAAAGCCAATGCAAATATTCTGTGTTACATGATACGCTAAATAGCAAGGGGAAACTGTGGGCTGGGCTCGTAATTGACGGGCGAGGGCGCTCCGTTTGATGCCAACGCGAGGTCACGTCATTGTTACTCATGATCGCCCGGGCGCCTCGTAAGGGGCCGTCCATAAATGACGTCACGCACCTAGGGGGGGGGGGTCGACGAGGGGGGGGGGGTTTCGGTGACTGCAGGGATTCATCTTCTTGGTTCTTTCGGTAAAGTCACGTAGAAGGGAAGTAATAAAATAATACAAATAAAACATTATAAAATAATTCTCACGACGTTTCGGCCACAACGCTGTCTCCCCGACAGACCTGTTCTTCACCTGAGGACGGCTGCTTGCGTTGTGGCCGAAACGTCGTGAGAATGATTTTATTTTGTTAAATTTTTATTATTTTATTATTTCCCTTCTACGTGACTTTATCGAAAGAACCAAGAAGATGAAGGGGAGGGGTGTTTAAGAAATGTGACGTCACATCAAAATGCGCAACTTTAAATTTATATAGAATTGTTATAACAACACTAATTGTTATAACAACACTCTTTCAACGTCAGAGTGCAGCGCCACATTAACTACGCACTACAATGACAATAGTTTAAAGCGATTTGAAGCAAGTTTTATTTTCAAAATGGAAATATGGTTTGGGGGGGGGGCGAGTGTGTTTTTTTGCATTCTGACTGCAGGTATTGTGGTTAATTCAAACATGATTAATTGCAAAAAGGTTTCAGTTTTGTTGCCAGAAAAATGGTAAAAAATTATTATGATGACGTCATCGTTTTTGAACCCTATCAGGATTCGAGATCAGAGGCGGAGGTGGGGGTGTATGTGTAGTGGTGGTATTGACGTGCGCCGGCAGTGATGGATCACGGGGCGCGGGGTTGGGCACGCGGTGTGGGCGTGGCATGGACGCGCGCGCCGGTGGTGAGGCGCGCTCACACAAGCTGGGAAAAGAGGATCGTAGCGAGTGCGCAGTGATTGGTCAGATAAGTGAGTACTCTCAGCGACGTCCGCAGGAGGGGTATAAAGGGGGACGCGCGAGAGCACTCGTGGTCAGTGTTAACCAGTTGAAGACCGAAGACGGGGTGGAGGAGGTAGGGGCCCTGTGTGGCTCGGAGCCGAGACTGGGGGGGACCGTAGTCCGACGCCCGTGTGGGTCGGGACGGTGGTACCCAGAGCCGAGACGGGCACCCCGGCTGGGTGTGTCTCGGAAGGCTACAGGGCGTAAGAGCCCGTGTCAGTACAGCTGAGTGGGTGTTGGTCACCCGTGTAGCTGAGTGGGTGTTAGTCACCCGTGTAGCTGAGTGGGTGTTGGTCACCCGTGTAGCTGAGTGGGTGTTAGTCACCCGTGTAGCTGAGTGGGTGTTGGTCACCCGTGTAGCTGAGTGGGTGTTGGTCACCCGTGTAGCTAAGTGGGTGTTGGTCACCCGTGTAACGAAGTTGTAGTTGAGTGGGTGTCCGTCACCCGTGTAGCTAAGTGGGTGTTGGTCACCCGTGTAACGAAGTAGGGTGTTAGTCATCCGTGTAACTACAAGTTGGTGAAAATAAAGAGTGTGCTACCCGTGAAGTCGTCTCCTGCCGAGTTACTACTTTACAACTGGCGTCAGAAGTAAACCTGTCTTCAAGGAGAATGGACACAAGGAAGACTTCTCGTTCCCACGTGCAAGACCGGGGAGACGACGACGTACCGGTGACACCACCCTCGGGAGGAGAGGACGAGGAGTTGCCGCCGATGCAGCACTTCGCGGAAATGGCCGATGCTCCGCCCGCCTCCGACACCAGCCTGCAGGACGCACACTCCCGCCTGGCGGAGTTGCTGCTCGCCGCCGCTGCGATCTTGGCGGAGATCTCCGTTCCAGCGGCCGGTGGAACGCCTGCGGGGTTGGAAGATGCGGCGCGGCTGGAGGGTTCCCGCCATAAGGCGTTTCGCGCCAAAAGTTTGGGAGTTGGCGCCATTTTTGAGGGTCCGCCTCCGGTTGGCGGGAAACGCGGACACCACGTGGCCAGAGGTCTCCACACAGCGCAGCCCGCGTCATCGGCGAGCGCCGGAGCTCTCCATTTTGCGCCTGCAGAGGGAGCCGACATTTTCTACAACCACAGCGGCGCGCGGGAAAATCGTTCCAACGACGACGACGACGATCGAGTTCTCCAGCAACGATTGCCCGCGCTGTCGGTGTTCAAGGCGGACGGGGGCGACTGGGGAGCCTTCCAGCGACGGTTCATCGCGCATCAAGAAATGTCGGGGTGGTCCGACACCACTGCCCTGCGCGCGCTGCCAGCGATGCTCGACGACGACGCGCTTGCGGCCTTCACGTCTGCCCCGAGGTCGTCCCGCTCAACGCTCCAGGCCGCGCTGCACCTGTTGGCCAAGGTGTTCGGGCCGCCCTCGACCTGTCGCCACCAGTTCTACGATCGGCAGAAGGTGGTTGGAGAAACAACGCTCGCCTATCGCACGGCGCTGCTCGCCCTGGCGGATTCAGCTTTTCCCCGCATGGACAAGGAGGGGAAGGACGCCATGGTGACGGAGCAGCTGCTGGCGCTGGCTCACGGATTGGGAGTTCCCATTAATACGGCGGACGAGATGGACATCTGCTCCCTGGGGATTGCCACGAGTATCCACGCTTACGAGGTCCTACAGCGGAAGCCGACGGTCGTCTGCGCATCGGTGGAGAACGGGGCACCGGCCGCCACGATCATCGGACCTCAGCCTGCTGTGCCTCTGGAGGAGGCCTTCGCTGGTTCGAGGCCGGGGGGAGTGGAGAACGGGAGGTCGTTCGCCCACACGCTCCTCCCACAAGCTGGAGCAACCGAAACCTACGACGTCCCTCGTCGTCTGCTACAACTGCGGCCTTCGGGGCCACGTCGCGTCCGGGTGCCGGGCCCCACGTCAACGCACCGCGGGACCACGTCCGGACGACGACCAGGGACTCAAGACATCCCAACTGAACCCGGCAAGTCGCGGCACCTCACACGTTCGGTCCACACGCACGGCACGTTCGGGTCGCCGCTTAGCGGTGGGGGGA